CCTAAAACAGCGCTAAAACAATGAATTACACCCCAATTCAAGCCTAATGAACTTTGAAATTTTTAATTTCTACAAATGACTCCGGAACCTATCAAATCACGTCCGATTGACCTCAAATTTTGCACACAAGTCACATTTCACATTACGGACCTAGTCCAATTTCCAGAATCGGATTCCGACCTCGATATCAAAAAGTCAACCTCCCGGTCAAACTTTCCAAAAATTTAACTTTCGGCAATTCAAGCCAAATTCCACTACGGACCTTCAAATAATTTTCCGGACACGCTCCTAAGTCCAAAATCACCATACGGAGCTATTGAAATCATCAAAATTTGAATCCGAGGTCGTTTACACATAAGTCCGCATCCGGTCACTATTTTAACTTAAGCTTTAAACCTTGGAACTAAGTGTTCTAATTCCTTCAAAACCCTCACTGGACCCGAACTAATTATCCCGGTAATTCATACAACAACTGTAAAGTATAATTTTAGAAGTAAATGGAGAAACGGGATTGTAATACTCAAAACGACCGGCCGGGTCGTTACAGTACATTCTCTATGTGATAGGGAAAAATTGAGCTAAGACTCGTATTAAAAATAATGTTTAGACATATACTGTAATTATTGGTACCCACTGGGGTCATTTTTGTGGTTGAATAATATGTTCAAATTGTAACTTTTTACTCAGTCATGTTTATTCATTTAATATCAGACCTCAGCCTCTCTTATTTATTATTGATGCATCATATCACTATTTTTGGGCTGCTTATCATGATTTCTGAGAGCACGAAAGACTGGAGAGGTTGATGACTGAGTGAGGTCGAGGGTCTAATTGTGAGGATATTTATGGATCGGATTTCACGCCGCAACATGTTTATTTATTTTTGCCATGATTGGCTTGATATAGCGCTTGGGCTGAAGGAGCCCCTCCGGAGTCTGTACACACCCCCAATAAGCGCAGGTACCTACTGAGTGTGAGTACCGAGTGTGAGTGCCGAGTGCTGAGTGACTGTGAGGAAATGAGTGATTGTGAGGTTGGAGTGAATGGGAGGACTGAGTGATTGTTACTCTGAGAGGATGCATTGATTGCATTATTTGCTGCATTTCAGCTGTCATATATCACTATTTTTGAAAATTCGGAAAAATATTATTTTCTGTGTCAGTCAAATTTGATATGAAATTCCTGTGAAATATTAAATATTGAACTTGCGAGCATGCCTACTCTGTTATATTGGAAAGTACTATATTTGGACTTAGCTGAGAAGCTCGTCACTACTTTCAGATCTTTATTTATTATTGTTACTTATTGAGTTGGTTGTACTCCTACTACACCCTGCATTTCGTGTGCAGATCCAGGTGATCCCGGATACAATGGGTGTTGATTCTTTCGCACAGTCAATTTTTCGGAGATTCAGAGGTAGCTGCCATGTTTTGCAGATCTTGTCTCTCCTTCCTTATCCTTTTGTTATTATATTTGGTCTCATATTATTATTAAATACCAGATTTTTCCCAGATTTGTAATGTATAGATGCTCATGTACTCAGTGATACCAAGTTTTGGGAGTGTTGTATCGGAAATTGCTATATTTTTGGTATTGTATTAAACATTATATTTTCAAACTTAAAGGAAATCGTGGGTTATTGATGTTGTCGGCTTGCCTAGTACTGAGATAGGCGCCATCACGACATGTTAGGATTTTGGGTTGTGACACTTCCCAAAAATTTGACTTTCGTCATTTCAAGCCTAATTCCACTACGGACTTCCAAATAATTTTCCGGACACGTTTCTAAGTCCAAAATCACCATACGGAGCTATTGGAATCAATAAAATTCTATTTCGGTATCGTTTTCACACAAGTCAACATCCGATCAACCTTTTCAACTTAAGCTTTCAACCTCGAGACTAAGTATCTCAATTCATTTCGAAATCTCTCCGGACCCGAACCGACTACCCTGACAAGTCACATAAAAGTTATAAAGTACAGAATGAGCAGTAAATGGGGGAACGAGGCTACAACTTTTAAAACGACTTGTCGGGTCGTTACAAACGGAGATGCCGAAATCTATGGCTTCTTCTCCTTCATTGTATCTCACATCTGAGTGTATTCGTTTGACCTGAGAATTATTACTCCACCACTACTTTGTACGCTGGAAAAAGAAGCCACCTCTTTCTTCGCCACTGCCTTTCACGTCGGAAAATCGTTGTTTAAATAAAGTGTATTTTGTATTTTATTCTCTATTTTTTAATACAATATATTTTGTATTCTCGTCGGAGATTTGACTGTATTCTTTATTTTTTTAGTTAAGTACAATTAATTTTTAAAAGGATTTGAATGTATTCTTCATTTTTAGTATAAATACAGCGGTATTTTGTATTTTGCCGGAGATTCGATTGGGTTTGATTGTATTCTTCCTTTTTAAATATAGTGTATTTTGTATGTTCGCAGAAATTTGATCGGATTTGACTCTATTCTTTATTTCATCATTTTTTGTGTGTAAATACATTCAAATACAATCGAATATGTTCAACCTTACTACATCAAATAAGGTTGGATACAACTGAATATTGTATTCAAATACACTCAAATACAATGAATTGTTCAAAACTGTCTACGAAACATAAATAAATAAAATGTAACTACGGATTGTTAAAAGCTCCTTAAAAGGTAGTCATTTCTGAAGGTTACCCTTTGATTAATTCTTGAGCAATTATCACTTCTAGCCATCCGGGAAAAACTAATGACAATCGGTAGCCACAAAATACATCATACAATTCATAGCCCAAAACTAATTACAAGGGCTAGCAATTACAACTAAAAAACCAGCGGCCGCCTAATCTTCAATTCCTTTTATGTCCATAAAAAAGTTCCGTTTAGGTTTTAGGATTTTGTTTTGTTATGACACACGAAAAATTATTAATTTTTTAAGTTTCGAACACTTTCATCTCCTTTTATGTTTCAGATTTTTTTATTTCTGGGAGTAAAATTTGAGCACTTTCACTTCTGCAACTTTCAAACTCTTCCTATTATACATAAATTATAATTTTTTTATCTTTTACTAAGAGCCTAAACTTTTTATTGATCTAATCTAAAAAATATATGATATTGCATAAGCAAAAATACTCATGATATAAGAAGAAAAAGAAAAAGGTAATGTATACCTTGTACACGCAATATACATATTTTACACTAGTATAAAGTGTATATACACTTTTTATACATCATAAAATAATATATATATAT